ACCCACGCAGACTCTGGCCAGTTCATCTGTTTGGCCAATTTCTCAAAGGAAATGAAAAAGGCTTCTACAACTTTTTCATTACATTTAGGTAAGGTTTTGACATATTTGTATATATCCCTACCAGGTCTTTGGCTACAATGTGTAGCTCATCATCACTCTCTTCCTCACTAAGCCTACGTTCTACCTTCATTTCCATCATTTTAAGTTGGCTATCCTGTTTAATTTGCAACTTCAGAAGTTCAAACTCTCTCTCTTTCTCCCCTCTTTTTCTTTTTCTTCTGCCCGAGCTCTCCTTTCCCTTTCTTTATCTTCTAACTCCAATTGTCTAATTTGTATTTTAATTTTTTCTAACTCTACTGTACTTACCTGTTTTTCTGGTATACCTAAATGCTTAATTTCAGCTTTCTTCTTATCCCTAGTTAAACCCAATTCTAGCCTGTCTGCTAATTCTACAAGTTTATCCTCTTTCTAAACTTTCTTGGCAAATTTACGAAGCATCTTCAAACCCCAGAATCTCTTCAATAATGTTACAAGCCACTTCCCCACTTTTGATTTAACCATCAACAAGCAACTGAAATTAAACAGATTTTTCACTCAGAACATAGAACTGTACAGCAGACTACAGGCCCTTCGGCCCACGGTGTTGTGCCGAACGTTTACCGTAATCCTAAGGTCTATTTAACCTCCACCCCTACCTTATACTGTCATCCATATGCCTATCTAATACCCGCTTAAATGCCCCTAATAAGGCCGACTCCACTACCGTCTCCGGCAATGTATTCCACGCCCCGACCTCTCTCTGAGTAAAGAACCTACCTCTGATGTCTCCCGTATATCTACCTCCACTCACTTTAAAATTATGCCCCCTCATAATAGCTACCTCCACCCTAGGAAAAAGTCTCTGGCTGTCCACTCTATCTATACCTCTGATCATTTTGTACACCTCTATCACGTCACCTCTCATCCTTTGTCGTTCTAAAGAGAAAAGCCCTAGCTCTCTCAATCTTTCCTCGTAAGACCTTCCCTCCATTCCAGGCAACATCCTGGTAAATCTCCTCTGCACCTTTTCCAATGCTTCCACATCTTTCCTGTAATGAGGCGACCAGAACTGGACACAATACTCCAGATGTGGCCGAACCAGGGTTTTGTTTAGCTGGAGCATAACTTCACGGCTCTTGAACTCAATCCCTCTATTAATGAAAGCTAACACACCATATGCCTTCTTAACAACTCTATCCACCTGGGTGGCAACTTTCAGGGAACTGTGGACATGAACACCAAGATCCCTCTGGTCCTCCACACTGCCAAGAATCTTTCTGTTAACCCTGTATTCTGCTTTCAAGTTTGTCCTTCCAAAATGAATCACCTCACACTTTTCAGGGTTAAACTCCATCTGCCACTTCTCAGCTCAGCTCTGCATCCTATCAATGTCCCTTTGTAACCTAGAACAGCCCTCCACACTATCCACAACTCGACCCACCTTCGTATCGTCCGCGAACTTACTAATCCACCCTTCCACTCCTTTATCCAAATCATTTACAAAAATCACAAATAGAAGAGGACTCAGAATAGATCCTTGTGGTACACCACTCGTAACTGAGCACCATGTTGAATATTTTCCGTCCACTACTACCCTTTGCCTTCTAAGGGTCAGCCAATTCCGAATCCAATCTGCCACATTTCCCCCTATCCCATGCCTCCTTATCTTCTGCATGACCGTTACTTAATACCTTACTTAAATCCATGTATACCACATCCACTGCTCTAACTTCATCCATGTGTTTGGTCACCTCTTCAAAGAATTCAATAAGGTTTGTGAGGCATGATCTACCCCTCACAAATCCATGCTGACTATCACAAATCAAACTGTACCTATCCAAATGATCATAAATCCTATCTCTCAGAGCCCTTTCCAATAATTTGCCCACCACTGACGTAAGACTAACTGGCCTGTAATTTTCGGGGTTATCCCTATTCCCTTTTTTGAACAAGGGAATGACGTTTGCCTCTCTCCAATCTTCGTGCACTATACCTGTGGACAGTGAGGACGAAAAGATCATCGCCAAAGGTCCTGCGATCTCTTCCCTCGCTTCACGTAGAATCCTTGGATAAATCCCATCAGGCCCGGGGGACTTATCTATCTTCAAGTTCCTCAAAATTCCTAGTACATCTTCCTTGCTAACATTGACCTCCTTTAGCTTACCAACCTGTTTCACACTGTCCTCCTCTACAACAAGGTCCCTATCAGTTGTGAATACCAAAGGAAAGTATTCATTAAGGACCTCTCCTATCTCTTTAGACTCCGTGCACAAATTCCCACTTCTCATTTAAGTTTTACTTAAAGATCAACGACACTAATCTCCAGAGTCGACACAGTGTGGAGCTGGAGGAACACAGCAGGTCAGGTAGCATCAGAGGAGAAGGAAAGTCGACGTTTCAGGTCGAAACCCTTCATCGGGACCTGAAACATCGCCTTTCCTGCTTCTCTGATGCTACCTGACCTGCTGTGTTTCTCCAGCTCCACACTGTATCGACTCTGACTTCCAGCATATGCAGTTCTTGCTATCTCCGACTCGCTAATCCCTATTTCTGTTTAAATCTGCTGGGAACTTTCATACTCTAAATCTATCCAAATCTGTTCAAATCCTAGACCCAAGCTGTCCCAATCGGTGCAAATCCCAGACCTGACCTGGCCAGATCTCAGACCTGAGCCCCCAAACTGTTATAAAGCATAACTAAAACTGAAACACCAAAAGAGGCTCACAAAGAACAAAGAAAATTACAGCACAGGAACAGCCCCTTCGGCCCTCCAAGCCTGCGCCGATCCGGATCCTCTATCTAAACCTGTCGCCTATTTTCCGAGGATCTATATCCCTCTGCTCCCTGCCCATTCATGATTCTGTCTAGATACATTTTAAATGACGCTATCGTGCCCGCCTCTACCACCTCTGCTGGCATGCATTCCAGGCACCCACCACCCTCTGCGTAAAGAACTTTCCACGCATATTTCCCTTAAACTTTTCCCCTCTCACCTTGAAATCATGACCCCTAGTAATTGAGTCCACCACTGTGGGAAAAAGCTTCTTGCTATCCACCCTGTCTATACCTCTCATGATTTTGTAGACCTCAATCAGGTCCCCCCTCAACCTCCATCTTTCTAATGTAAATAATCCTAATCTACTCAACCTCTCTTCATAGCTAGCGCCCTCCATACCAGGCAACATCCTGGTGAACCTCCTCTGCACCCTCTCCAAAGCATCCACATCCTTTTGGTAATGTGGCGACCAGAACTGTACGCAGTATTCCACATGTGGTCGAACCAAAGTCCTTTACAACTGTAACATGACCTGCCAACTCTTGCACTCAATAGCCCATCCGATGAATGAAAGCATGCTGTATGCCTTCTTGACCACTCTATTGATCTGTGTAACGACCTTCAGGGTACAATGGACCTGAACACCCAGATCTCTCTGTGCATCAGTTTTCCCAGGGCTTCTCACCTCTCCTTATAATCTGTTAAAAGAAGTGTGAAAAATGGTATAACCTGCCTCTCACTAAAGGAGTGGTTAAATGAAATAAACTCCTGACACTCACTCTAATCAACAAGTAACAATTTATTTATCTCACTCTAACAGTGAACAAATTAACTGAAATATTAACAAACTGAACCATTCCCCTCTAACTACTAACTATTCCTAAATAAAATAAAATTCTGATGGTATGCTTTTCCAATAAATAGAAGTCCCACTTATACAAACCAACATTAAAAAATTAGAACTTAGTCTCTTGAAATTACAGCCAGCTAACTGTTCCTAAATAAAACAAAATTCTAATGGTATGCTTTTCCAAAAAATACAGGTCCCACTTATACAAACCAACATTAAAATATTAGAACTTAGTCTCTCGAAATTACAGCCAGGTTACGTCTTCTGGAATGTTCTGTGTCTTCTCTGTTGATCTTCTGTCAGGAATATTAACTAAGAGTGCCGTGGTATCTTTATTTAGATGATACTTTCTCTAAGAGCTGAGAGATCTGATCCCTTAGCAGATGGCAGTTTGTTCTCTGCTGATTTTGCAACTGCCCTATTTTTTATACCTTTGATGACATATCAATTTCTTACAATAGGATTGGTTCTATGTTGTCAAAACCATCAGATTTAATTGGTTTTTCATATCCAAGTGCCTGGTTTAAGTTAATTAGCTAAATCAAACTTGTTGTCTTGATAACAAAACCAAATTGCTGCATGGCCTGCTAACCATCCAGCCTTTTGATGCAAAGGTTATAATTCAGGTGCTCTGTGCACCTGCAAACCCACAAGCAACCCATAGACATTTTGTTTTAACCTCAAATCCAAGAAAAAGCACATCATCTTTTAAGCACCAAATTCTAACATTCTGCCTTGCAATCCACAAGTACTCTACCCAACCTTGCAACAATATCTTGAAGGGCTCATCCAGTGAGGCATATGGTACAAGTCAGGGATAAGAAAGGTGCAGTCACTGTGGTACTGTTATACGATGGCCTCCCAATAGCCAGTGGGAGATAGATGAACAGACATTTCGGCAGATCCTGGAAAAATGTAAAAACAACTGGGCTGTTATAGTGGATGATTTTAATTTCCTCAATATTGACTGGGAGTCTCTTGGTGCTAGGGGCTTAGATGGGGCAGAATTTGTCAGGTGAATCCAGGAGGGACTCTTGAAACAATATGTAGATAGCCCAGCTAGGAAAGGGGCCATACTAGACCTTGTCTTGGGGAATGAGCCTGGTTAGGTGATCAAATTTTCAATGGGGAAGCATTTTGGGAGCAGTGGCCATAATTCTATTTGTTTTTAGTTGCTTAAGAATAAGGATAAAAATAGTCCTCGGGTGGAAGTGCTAAATTGGGTGAAGGCTAATTACAACAGTATTAGAAAGGAACTTAGGAATGTAGATTGGGAGCAACTGTTTGAGAGTAAATCCACATCTGACTTGTGGCAATCTTTTAAAGGCAAGTTGATCAGAGTTCAGGAGGAGTATGTTCCTGAAAGGGTGAAAGGTGTGGAAGATAATATTCGGGCACCCTGGATGACAAGAGATATTGAAAGTTTAGTCAAAAAAAAAAGAAGCATATGTAAGTTTTAAGAAACTGAAATAAAACAAGACCCTTGAGGATTATAAAGGAAACAGGAAAGAACTTAAACAAGGAATTAGGATGACTAGAAGGTCACATGAAATTTCCTTGGCAAGTTAGATTAAGGAGAATCCCAAGACATTTTATACATATATTAGGAGCAACAGGGTAGCTAGGGAAAAAATAGGTCCACTCAAGGACAAAGGAAGGAATTTATGCTTGGGGAGGTGATGGCCTAATGGTATTATTGCTGGACTATTAATCCAGAGACCCAGGCAATGTTCTAGGACCATCAGTTCAAATCTCACTCTAGCAGATGGTGGAATTTGAATTCAATAAAAATCTGAAGTTTAGAGTTTAATGATGACCACAAAACTATTGTCATTTTTTGGAAAAACCCATCTAGTTCACTAATGTTCTTTAGGGAAGGAAATTTGTCATCCTTACCTGGTCTGGCCTACATGTGACTCCAGACCCACAGCAATGTGGTTGACTCTTAACTGCCATCTGGGCAATTAGGAATGGCCAATAAATGCTGGGACTGGCCAGCGATGCCATGAATGAATAGAAAAAAATTATGTGTGGAGCCACAGGAAGTGGGTGAGGTCCTTAATGCAAAGTACTCATTAGGGCTGAGTATTGGTATTCACTAAGGAGAAAGACATGAATGATGTTAACAATAGAGATGAGATATCTTGATATTCTAGGGCATTTCAATATTAAGAATGAAGAGATGTTGGGTGTCTTGAAACACCTTAAAGGAGATAAGTCTCCAGGGCTTGATGGGACAGGGTTAATCCAGGAATTTATAGGATTGGTAAACCTCACATCAATCGTCAGAAAATTATTGGAGAAAATTTTTAGGGGCAGGATTTAGTTGCTTTTGGAAACGAATGGACTTTTTAGTGAGAGTCAGCATAACTTTGTGCAGGGGAGGTCTTACCTCACAAATTTGATTAAGTTTTTTGAGGAAGTGACGAAGATGATTGATTGAATTAGGGCAGTGGAAGAACCAAGCGGTCTACCTGGACTTTACTGAAGAATTTGACAAAAGTGCCTCATGATCCAGAAAATTAAGTCACATGAGATCCACAGTGCATGGGTAAATTGGATGCAAAATTGGTCATAGAAGACACAGGGTAGTTGAAGAGGTGTGTTTTTCTGACAGGCGATCTGTGTCCAACGGTGTTCTGCAAGGAATCAATGCTGGGATGGATATCTGTTGTTTATAATTTATATAAATGATTTGGATGATAATGTAGGTGGTCTGATAGTAGGTTTGTAGACAGTATAAAGATTGGTGAAGTTGTGGATAGTGAGGAAGGTTGTCAAAGGATATGAGACAGGGAGGCAATGGCCTAGTGGTATTATCGCTGGACTGTTAATCCAGAGACCACCAGATAATGTTCTGGGGACTGGTTCAAATCCTGCCATTACAGATGGTGAAATTTGAATTCAATAAAAATTTCTGGAATTAAGAATCTAATGATGACCATGAATCCATTGTCGATTGTTGGGGGAAAACCCATCTGGTTCACTAATGCCCTTTAGGGAAGGAAACTGCCATTCTTACCTGGGCTAGCCTCCCTGTGACTCCAGACCCACACCAATGTGGTTGACTCTTAAATGCCCTCTGGGCAATTAGGAATGGTCAATGAATGCTGCCTAGCCAGCAATGTCCTCATCCCGTGAATGAATAAAGAAAAAAATAATACTGCAGGGTATAGATCAGCTGGAAAGTTGGGTAGAAAAATGGCAGATAGAGTTTAAAGTGGACAATTTAATCTGTGAGGCATTGCATTTTGGGGGATCAAATAAAATTTATGATTTTTGATTTATGATGAAATATTATCATGTGTACTGAAATACAGTGAAAACCCTTGTTTATGAGCAGTACAGGCAGATCGCAGCAAGCAAAGGATGTATAGATCAAAAAGACTGAAAGGCATGTAGGTTACATTGCAGGTTACATTATTTCAGGCTAGAGTCCATTCAGCAGTCTAATAACAGCCGGAAAGAAGCTGTTCCTGAACCTGCTGATGCATGTGTTCAGGCTTCTGTATCTTCTGCCTGATGGAAGAGGTTGTAGGAGGTCATTACTGGGGTGTGATGGGTCTTTGATGATGTTGGCTACGTTTCTGCAGCAATGAGCCATGTAAATGGAGTCCATGGATGGAAGGTTGGCTTCTGTGATGTTCTGGACTGTGCACACCACCTTCTGTAGTTTCTTACAGTCCTGAGCAGAGCAGTTGCCAGACCAGGCCGTTATGTTTTCAATGGTGCATCTGTAGAAAGTGGTGAAGGACCTTATGGACATGGCAAATTTCCTGAGTCGCCTGAGGAAGAAGAGGTGTTGTTGTACCTTCTTGACTGTCACATTTACATGGGAAGTCCGGGACAGGTGGTTGGTTATCGTCACTCCGAGGATCTTGATGCTCTTCACCCTCTCAAACTCAGTTCCATTGATGTAGTTGGGGCCATGTTCTCCTCCTTTCTTTCTGAAGTCAATGATCAGTTCTTTAGTTGCTGACATTGAGTGAGAGGTTGTTCTCATTTCACCACGTCACCAAGCCCTCTATCTCCCTTCTGTATTCTGACTCGTCGTTGTTAGATATCTGTCCCACTACGGTGGTGTCATCAGCAAACTTGTAGATGGCATTCATTCGGAATTTGGCAACACAGCCATAGGTGTACAGGGAGGACAGTAGGGGGGCTGAGGACGTATCCTTGGGGGGCTTCAGTGTTGAGTATAATTGTGGAGGAGGTGCAGTTACCTATCCTCACTGATTGTGGCCTGTGGGTCAGGAAGCTCGCTTCACCGGAGGTGCACGGACGATGTTACCTAGCAGGGTGACGAAACGTCTGCAACCAAACCCAGCGGCTCGATGAGCAAGTCTACCCACTCATCCACAACCTGAGCTACAAGTCTTCTCAAAAAACTTTAAAGTAGGCAAACTGTAGGGAATCTTATAAAGCCAGTTGATCAGAGTTCAGTAAATGGCAGGGGCCTTAAGAGCATTGATATACAGAGGGATCTTGGTGCAAATCCATAGCTCCCTGAAAGTGGCAACACAAGCGGATAAGGTGGTAAAGAGGGCATATGGCATGTTTGCCTTCATCATTCAGGGTATTGAGTATAAAAGTTGGCAAATCATATTGCAGCTGTACAAAATGTTTAGTTAGGCCGCATTTGGAGTGTCATGTACAGTTCTGGTTGCCACACTACGGGATGGATATGGAGGCTTTGGAGAGGGTGTAAAAGAGGTTGGCCAGGATGTTGCCTGGATTGGAGTGGAGAAAGGACATGTTGGACAAACTTAGGTTGTTTTCCCTAGAGCATCGGAGGCTGAAGGGCAATCTGATAGAAGTGTATAAAACTGAGAGGTATGGATAGGGTGGATAGTTGGAGTCTGGGTGGGAATGTCAAATACGAGGGGGCATAGGTTTAAGGTGAGAGGAGAAAACTTCTTAAACTTTAGAGGAAAGTTTTTTATGCAGAGCCTGGTAGGTGCCTGGAATGTGGCACCAGGGGTAGTGGTAGAGGCAAATACAATAGCAACGTTTAAGCAGAATTTAGACAGACACATAAACAGACAGGGAGTAGAGGGATACAGACCATGGGCAGGCAAATGGGATTCATTTAGAATAGCATCATGGTCAGCACAGGCATGGTGGGCCAAAGTGCCTGCTCTTGAGCTGTACTGTTCTATGTTCAATGTTCACCTTTACCCTCCTGTGTTACTGAGATGGTAGTGTAGTGCTATTGTCACTGGGTGAGTAATCCAGAGTCCCAGGGTAATATAAAAAAGAACTGCAATCGCTGGAAATCAGAACCATTGAAGAAGGGTCATTGGACCCAAAATGTTAACTCTGCTTTCTCTCCATGGATGCTGCCAAACCTGCTCAGCTTTTCCAGCAATTTCCGTTTTTGTTGCCCCAGACTAATATCTTGGGCTCATAGCTTCAAATCCCACCATTGCAAACAGTGAAATTTGAATTCAGTAACTACTCTGGAATAAAAAGCTATTCTAGTGGTCACTATGTTATCACTGTCAATTGTCACAAAACCCACCTGTTTCTCTAACGCCATTTAGGGAGGGAAATATGCTGCCCTTACCTGGTCTGGCCTACATGTGACTCCAGATCAACAGCATATGGTTGATTCTTAACTGCCCTCTGGGTAATTAGGGATGGGCATAATTGCTAGCCTAGCCAGTAATGCCCACATACTGGGAACCAATTTGAAAAGTACCCTGAATCTGTCAGACTTAGAAATGAGAATTTAACAAATGGTTATGTTTATGGCTGCTGAACAGGGGAATTATTTTATTATGTGTTCAGCTCTGATCAGAGAGGATAATGTCTCTAAGGAGAGCCTTTGGGTTCATATTTTTAAATGTTGCATTCATCGCATTTATTGCTGTTTGACATTGATCGTGATCTGTGCTGATTTTGACTTGGTCTTGCTCAAGGCTTTTTCATCTTGACTGTTTTTTGCTGTTGCCTTCTTAGCAGTTTGGCTGCCCATTTTAACATTCACTGCACGTGGCCAGAGACTCACTGACACAACAGCCCCCAGTTACAGTGGCTTTTGATTTGATTTGATTTGATTTGATTTATTGTTGACATATTCACCTGAATACAGTGAAAAGCTTTGTTTTGCGAGCATTTTAGGCAGATCATAGGAAACAAGGACATACAGATCATAGGGTGCTTAGACAGAGTGAGGCACACAGGTTTACAGCTGCAGAGGAGATTATGGACCTCTTTAATTTCAAACACAATGTTGAATCTTTGAGACATGCATTCATCTCTCCAATCTAATCTAATAACAACCATATAGACTGTTTTTCAAGATTGTACCTGTTGTCTGCTAAAGATTTCACGTGGGCATCCTTCCTCACTAAGTATCAGAGACTTAAACTTGTTCCCATAAGTCAGTTTGGGGGCAGTGAATGCAGCTTAAAAATCAGGTAATTGACAGCTGAGAAGTGAATCCAAACAATTATCTAAAGTCACATGATTTCTAAGCAATACTTCCTTTTCAAAAAAATGGTTTTATTGTCCCAAATGTTTCTTAGGGACATTTTTCAAACCTAATCCAGTTAGAGAGTCATAGAGTACTACATGAAGACATGGTCCCTTCAACCCAAACTGGTCCATGCTGACCATGGTGCCCACTCAGCTAGTTCCAATTGCTCGCATTTGGTCCATATCTCTCTAAACCCTTCTCATCTATGTACCAATCCAAAAGTTTTTTAAATGTTGCTATTGTACCTGCCTCAACCACTTTCTCTGGCAGCCCATTCCATATACACACCACTCTGTGTGAAGAAGTTGCCTCCCAGGTCCTTTTTAAAGCTGTCCCCTCTCACCTTAAACTTATGCCCTCTTTCAATTTCCCATCCCTGGGGAAAATGACTATATGCATTCATCCTATCAATGCCTGTCATGATTTTATACACCTCAGTAAGGTCACCCCTCATTCTCCTACGTTCCAAGGAATAAAGTCATATCCTGGCCAACCTCTCCCTATAATTCAGCCTACTAGTCCTGGCAACATCCTTGTAAATCTTCTTTGCACACTTTCCAGTTTAACTATGTCTTTCCTATAACAGGGTGATCAAAACTGTACATAATACTCCAAGTGTGGCCTCACCAACGACTTATACTACTGTAACATAACATCCCAACTCCTATACTCAATGCCTTGACCGATGAAGGTCAGCATGCTAAATGCCTTCTTCACCACCCTGTCTACCTGTGACGCTTCTTTCAAAGAACTATGTGCTTGTACTCCTGGGTCCCTCTGTTCCATAATACTCCGCAGGACCTTACCATTTACTGTATAAGTCCTACCTTGGTTTGACTTTCCAAAATGCAACACATCACACTTATCTGTGTTGAATTGCATTTGCCAATCCTCATCCCACTTCTCCATCTGATCAAGATCCCTCTGTAATTTTTGATAACGTTCTTCACTATCAACGATACCTCCTAATTTTGTATCATCTGCAAACTTACTAATTATGCCTGTACATTCACATCCAGATCATTTACGGAAATAACAAATAACAAAGGTCCCAGCACCGACGCCTGTGCCACACCATTAGTCACAAACCTCCAGTCTGAGAAACAACCTTCAACCATCACCCTCTGCTTCTTACCATTGAGCCAAATTTGAATCCAATTAGCTAGCTTTCCCTGGATCCCATGCGACCCCAACTTTCATGACAAGCCTGCTGTGTGGGACCTTGTCAAAGGCCTTACTAAAGTCCATATTGACAACATCCACTGCCCTACCCTCATCCATCCTCTTGGTTACCTCTTTGAAAAACTATAAAAGATTTGTCAGACATGACTTCCTGCGCACAAATCCACGCTGACTATCCCTAATCAGACCTTGACTATCCAAATGTTGATTAATCCTGTCCGTCAGTATCCTCTCCAATATCTTGCCTACCACTGATGTCAGTGTCTGCATACTACTTAAAATGGATCCATTTTCCACAATCCTTCAAATTTTAAGTCCTCAAAGAAATAGTAAATTTCTTTGGTTTCAAAACAGGGAACCTAGACGCTCACCTCTGTTACATGTGGAAACAATTATTACTGAGAAATTATTCTGTGTGAGGGAACACAGCATATCTGCTCTCCATTATTGCAAAGAAGTTTAAAGAGATTTGCTGGATTTAACTTGCCCATTTTTTTTATTCATTGACGGGATGAGGGCGTCACTGACCAGGCAGATTTATTGCCCATCCCCATGAACTTCACCAATACATACATAATTCTATATTCTGTTTATTTATTATATTTATATTTATTTATGAAGGTGCCTTTTTTAAAATGTGGGGGCATTCAGTGTGTTAGGTGGTGATGAACTCACTACCCCCAGTGCAAGAGATCTGTCTGGATCATCCAACAAACAGCTCGTTAAATACTGAGAGGCAAACTTTAGCAAGCATCTCACCCTATCATGGACCTGGCTGTCCATAAACTGCAGACCATTGAGAGACTGGAACGTTCCGGAATCCAGCAATGAGAAGGCCAGCCACTGGTAACTTATAAAAACCAAAAGAACTGCGGATGCTGTAAATCAGGAATAAAAACAAAGTTGCTGGAAAAGCTCAGCAGGTCTGGCAGCATCTGTGGAGGAGAAAACAGAGTTAA